TGGGATCCTCCCGAAACGGGGCACGAACCCGCGTCTCCTGCATCGGCAGGCGGGACTCTCAACACTGCGCCACCAGGGAAGCCCTAGATTGGCTTTTTACACTTGGTTATATGCATTTAAGGTCCCTCCATGTCTTTTCATGACATGATAGCTCATTTCTTTTCAGTGCTGAATATAATCTATTGTCTGAATGTACCAGAGTGTGTTTATCCATTCACCTACATCTTGGTTGCTTCCAAGTTTTGAATAAAGCTGCTGTAAAAATCTATGTTCGGGTTTTTATGTGGTTCTAAGTTTTCACCTCCTTTTACATTAACTTGAAATAAACTAAATGATGTGTTACTACTGTTTACTAATGTGAAATTACAGCAGTTAGAATTAGTAAATTCTTTTCCACCTCTTGTCCTAATGAAGGTTTTATGGCTTGTTTCCATATGTGCTAGGGAGTAAGAGCCTTTGCCAAGCTTGCTGAGCCTGTGACCTTTCCTTTTTGGTCTCTACTTTTGTGTTTCTTTTATTGTGAGGACACCAGTATTGCCACATTCAAATGAGGCAGGAATAGCTTTCTCTGAGGTCATCATATGATGAAATACTCCTGCCCTCTTGAGTAGATTGTATCCTGCGTTCTGTAGGCATTAGGCTCTATTCCCAAAGAGTTTACAGTATAGTAAAATGATTATAGCATGTTAAGTACGTTAAAACTGGGATGAAGTTTTACAGGGAAATTAATAATAGATATTTGTTTCACCATTAATTCAAGGAAAAATGGCATGATACTTTGATATTTTGATCATAAAACATGACAAGAGTTGTTTTTTTGTTTGTTTTTTGTTGCTTTAAGAAAGTATCCAAAATTCTATATTCTATTTTATCTTTTCTGTCTTTGGCATACATGGCATATATTTTTTTAATGTTATTGAGATAATGGTATACATATTATTAATTATATATTTTTGATGTTTCTAATGTGAAACTCACTATAACCATGATATAAAGTATATATGTAAAATGCTTTTGAAATTCATGTGGTAGTGGTTTTTAGGTAAATATTCTATCATCTATTCATCCAATATTCTGCATAGTCCAGAGAGATGTTATTTAAAATATTAATTCATTGTGTTTTTTATGAATTTACCTGATTTAGAATCCATATTTTAATGTTAGCTTTGTCACTGTAGGACACTAGTTTCAGTTTAATTTCGTTAACATTGGATAGGCTGTGTGTGTGTGGATAGAGCAACAAAAGTCTCCTTTCTCCCAAATTTTGCATAGGATAAACCATAGCAAATAGCCATAGTGTTTTTGTGAGTTTCCTATTTCTGTACCTTTGGAAGCACAGAGATAGTTGCATGAAAACGTTGGGTTTCCCTCAAACTTTTTGGTTAATACTGAACTTGTTTCTCCTCTTTTAGCTGTGCGGTCAGAGAAGAAACGCCTTAGGAAGCCAAGCAAGTGGCTTCTGGAATATACAGAAGAATATGATCAGATATTTGCCCCTAAGAAAAAACAAAAGAAGGTACAGGAACAGGTGCACAAGGTACATTCCACCATTTCAACAACCTTTCATCAGTTCTTTTAGGATACTGCAATTTTCCCTTCAATATCATATTTTATCTTCATGGGACAATAATTTCCTTAACTGGGATCTTGTTTTTCAGGGGTTTTTTTCCAGCTTCTGGCACAGTACTTAGCCTGTCCTAGTTATACAGGAAATGTATAAATGAGTCTGTACTATGTGTGTATAGTGTGTGTATATATAGTATATTTTCCCCCTTTGCTTTCAAAATGTATTTAATGATTTAGGAATATTGTTATGATAAAACGTTCAGTAAAAAATACAGGGTATTAAAAAGAATAGTATGGTCCTAATTCTATAAACAAATGTTATAATACCTTATATGCTTTATTTTTCATTCTTTTTTTTTTTTTATATGGTATGCGGGCCTCTCACTGTGTGGCCCCTCCCGCTGCGGAGCACAGGCTCCAGACGCGCAGGCTCAGTGGCCACGGCCCACGGGCCTAGCCGCTCTGAGGCACGTGGGATCTTCCCAGACCAGGGCACAAACCCGTGTCCCCTGCACCGGCAGGCGGACTCTCAACCACTGCGCCACCAGGGAAGCCCTATGCTTTATTTTTAAATTCAATTTCTTTAAACTGAAAGTATTTTAAAGTAAGTTAGAGATATTTTGACCCCACGTCCCTAAATAACATGCACCTCTAAGAAACAACATTTTTCTTCACAACCAATTTATCATGGTCATATCTGTTAAGGTCAGTTTATCTAATAATAAATCCATGTTCAGATTTCCCCAGTTATTTCATAACCTTTACATTTAATTTATCCAAACCAAGATCCAGTCTAGGATTATACATTATATCTGGTTGTTACATTTCTTAAATCACCTTAAATCCAGGACAGTCCCCCCTTTTCATGACCGTATGTAAGCAATGAGAGCAACACATTTAGAGTATCTGCCTTCTTGATTTGTGTGATTGCGTCTATGTTCCCTTTTAGGTTGTAGTTAATAAGTAACAATTTGATAGATTCAAGTTAAGCATTTTTGGCTAGATTACGTGGTAGGTGTCGTATGTTGTATGACATTGGAAAGTATTTAACCTCCAATAGTTCACCGTGGTGACTAACTGATTTCTCTCTTTTCAGTTATGTTTTACCTCTTTTGATCAAGCAGCAGTATATGTATAATTACTTTGGCTCCAAGAGAATGTCTTGTTCCCCATCAGCCATTTCCCTGATGTTTTTTAAAAAATATCAATTGTAGATCCTTTTCTATATGAATAATTTCATTTGGGGTTGCAAAATGAAGATTTTCAGATTTTATTATTTCTTCTACTTATATTTTCTGTCAGTCTGTCATTTTATAGTACTGAAATACATGAAAGGCATGTATTGCTTTCCCATTAATTTACCAGCTCAACTTTGGAAGTTTATTATTAGCTGCTTTTATCGATGATATATTAGGGAATCTTTTTTTTCTTCTATTTTTATTTTTTTTTTGCGGTACGTGGGCCTCTCACTGTTGTGGCCTCTCCCGTTGCGGAGCACAGGCTCCAGGCGCGCAGGCTCAGTGGCCATGGCTCACGGGCCCAGCCGCTCCGTGGCATGTGGGATCTTCCTCGACCGAGGCACGAACCCGTGTCCCCTGCATCGGCAGGTGGACTCTCAACCACTGCGCCACCAGGGAAGCCCCCATTTTTACCCTTTAAAAAAATTATAGTAAAATATATATAACATAAAATTTACAACTTTAACCATTTTTTAGTGTACAGTTCTGTGGCATTCAGTACACCCACATCGTTATGCAACCACTACCATTATCACCACTACCCATTATCTTCAGAAATTTTTCATGGCCCCAAACTGAAACTCTGTGTCTATTAAAAAATAACTTCTCACTTCCCCATACCTTTAGCCCCTGACAACCACCATTCTGTTTTCTGTCTCTATGAATTTTACTATTCTAGGTAACTCATATAAGTGGAATCAATACAATATTTGTCCTTTTTTGTCTGGCTTATTTCAGTTAGTGTAATGTTGTCTTCAAGTTTCATCCATTTGTAGCACGTGTCAGAATTTCATTCCTTTATAAGTACATTATTCTTTTTGACACTTAAATTATAATGACTTTGGCCTATGGATTCCACGTTTATCTTTTGCCCATAGGTAAGTTCCCGCCGTGAAGAGGAAAGCCTTTTAGCCCGGTGTCGATCTAGTGCTCAGAACAAACAGGTGGATGAGAATTCTTTGATATCAACCAAAGAAGAGCCTCCAATTCTTGAAAGGGAGGCTCCGTTTTTGGAAGGGCCCTTGGCTCAGTCAGAACTTGGAGGTGGACATGCTGAGTTGCCACAGCTGACCTTGTCTGTGCCTGTGGCTCCGGAAGTCTCTCCACGGCCTGCCCTTGAGTCTGAGGAATTGCTAGTTAAAACACCAGGTAAGATGGGGATGGGTCTCAGTATGTAAGTGGGTATAATTAGAGGAAGCAGGAGATTTTAGTATGTTTTGATGGAAAGCCAGTAGTGTATTTCTGTACAGCAAACTACCCACTTTGATTCTGGGAAATCCCTAATACTGGCTAATTGGATATAGTTAATGACCATTAATTGGTGTACTGTCAGGAAGACATATTTTTAAAAAACTACTTTCTTTCAGTGTTATTGCTCTTCATGATTATTGATCAACCACAGTGTGAATCAACACCCAGGATAACAGGGTTTTGGGTAGGGGCACTGCATACTAGTGGAGTAAACACATAAAAATTATACTTCAGATACTGACTTTACCAATCTTTGTGTTACTTGGGAAGTTGTTTAACCTCTGAACTTGTTTCCTCGATGTATAAAGTGGAGACTGTGATGCAATGTATAAAGAAATTTACCTGACACATAGCAAGCAGCTGAGTGTGAATACTCCCTTGAAGTTAATTACCAATTTCTTTTCACTTTATCAGTATAAACATGTCACCTGGTGAGAATTGGATCTAAACAACATACTGTCTCTAATTCACCTTCTGACATTTTTCTTTTTCTTTTTTTTTATATTGGAGTAACCTTCTGACTTGAGTGTTGTAGTCAGCCAAGGAAAATTTTGGATGTAACTTTTTTACATTCCCAACAGTAGCTTGTGATGTTATTCTTTAAAAAGGGATCCCAATTGTGTATAATCAAATAAGGTGGAATCAAAAAGAATAATAAAGATAGTTACCACCTCATTGCCCATTATGTGCCAAACTCTGTTATTAGACTCTTTTATATAATTCCTAAGAGCAGTCCTACAAAGTAAACAAGTGTCTTTTACTTATTTAGGAATAGAACAAGAATTCTAATCCTGGTCTATTTATGCCCAGAATTCAGGCTCTACTTTACCTCACTTCTCCTTTTGTTCTTATCACCAGTTGATTGCTCTAAGGGGAGTTTTGCCCTTTTGATTTCTCCCTTAGTTCATTTGTGATTTTTTAAAAATGTATCAACATATATGGTTTTTAGTAAGTGTGTATACACACACACACACACACACACACACACACACTCTGACATAAGAACATCCTCACATTAGTTTGTGTCTGTATTGAGAAATATTTTCTTGTTTTGTGTTAACTAGTATTTTAGAATAAATGTTTACCTTGTCCCTCCCCACAAGATGATGAGAACAATATTTAAAAATGACTAATTTTTTATATTTTGAGAAAAATATTAAAATGACTAATTATATATATATATATATATATATATATATATATATATATATATATATATATATGTTTTTAAAAAATTAGCTTGTGCCCAGTTTCTAAGTCATCTAATGAAAAGATACATGCATTTCAGGAAATTATGAAAGTAAGCGTCAGAGAAAACCAACTAAGAAACTTCTTGAATCCAATGATTTAGACCCTGGATTTATGCCCAAGAAAGGGGAACTTGGCCTTACTAAAAAGGTATGTTATTTTAGTCAATTCTAAAATAGGGTTGAATCCAGGAAATAGGGGATTTTAAAAACAAATCTTTTAGTAATACTTATGACATCAGTGCACATATACATAGAAATTATAGAATGTCAGAGCACACTTGGTGATCTGAGAGATCCTACATTAAGATGCTGTTTTGCATTTGTACGGAAAATGTGTATCACTTGATTTTAGATTTTCTTTTCAAGTGAAAATGAAAAAAGCTTTTACAGTTGAGTAAAGTTTGTGTTTGTTGTAATTTCTTTTCTGGGCTCAAAACCTCTTACCTGATTTCTACTTCACTTCTGTCTCTACAAGCCACTAACCTACTCTTATGCCATTGCCCTGTCTGCGTAATACCTCAGAAAAGACCTAGCTCAGCTATAATCCAGGCAGAAACACTTGATCTTCAGTTTTGCAAACTTGGTTTCCATTAGCCAAGAAGGCATCATTAAATTGTAGTTGGAAATAGAAAATGATTTTCTAATTCTATAATGGATGATAACTGGATATTGATTCCTTAGGATATATCCTGCTCTCTTTGTATTTGAGGAGTAACTCAGTGTATATGTTACAAATTCAGTTGTAGGTTGCACAGATTTCCTATTTAAAAAAATTCTTTTTCTTTAAAGAAAAAATGCAGATTGTAATCAAATCATAAATAGAGTTTTTGGAATTCTTCCCTTAGCTGTAGCAAACTTCTATCCTTTAATCCTATATTAAGGCCCCTAGTTTTTGTTAGTCACACATCTGTAAATGTAAAATTTAATTTATTTGTGTTTTTATACCTTATTTAAAGAGTCACATTATGTACTTTAGTTCCTTTGTTCTTCTCAAAGCGGTTTTATGACATGGACTTTTTGGTGGTTCTTAGACTCATCTCCTGCCCTCCGAACTCTCACTCTCTCTGCAGTTTGTGCAACCTTCAGTGACAATGTGTCTCTAACTCACTATCCTCTCATTGTACCCCACACTCTAGTAAGGCTGTGGTCATCTTCTGCAGTGCTTTCTCTCCTGGATTTATATTATTCAAATCTTAGCCACTGCGCAAGATTGTGGGCAGAGGTAGATGGGAAGGGCCAGGGAAACTGGGATTCAGTTGCACGTTTTGAGCGTGGAGGTGACATTTGCAATCAGGTGATAAATTTAACGGTATTGTACAGGGTGAGTCATGGGAGGCGGTTGTCTAGAGGTGAGGTGCTGCAAATGTCATTGAAAGTAAGAATTCAGGCGAATTAAGTGAATGACCCCCCCCCCCTTTATGGAGCTATAATTGGCATATATAAGTTAATGATTTGAAGGAATAAGATGAATTTTGAATCCTCAATGTTTTTGAGACTGGGTTACTTAAAATATAGTGTTAATTTGTTTTTTAATAACTGTAAATGGAGTATAACCTTTAAAATTGTATAATTTGTATGACCTTGCTCTGCCAAGTGCAGTTTTCTAATCTGAAATTTAACTTGTCGTGTTTGTGGGTTAATTTTTTCCGTAAGGGGATAAAAAGCATGATTTAGTTGATAATTTTAATTTATATAGGCGAACGTGTCCCAGAACTCTTTGAGATTTAATTTACACTAATAAAATGCACAGATCTTAATTGTTCTGTTTGATGGCTCTAGACAGTTGTATATACCATGTTAAGTACCACCCAAACTAAGTATGCTCTATATCTATCACCCCTGGAAGTTTTCTTGTTCCCCTTTTCACTCAACTCCCCATTCTCATCTCTTCAAGAGGCAAAATTTTCTAACTTCCGTTACCATAGATTAGTTTTGCTTGTTCATGAATGTCCTATGTGTTGTTTTGTTTTTGTTAACTGGCTTCTTTTATTCAACACATGTATTTGAGATACATCCACAAGGATGCTATTTCAGTAGTAGTTCAAGTACAATTTGCTTGTCCTTTCTCCTGTTGATGCACATTTGCATTTTTTCATTTGAGGGCTATTAATCATAAGGCTGGTATGAAAATTCTGAGTCTGCTTGTGTACATATATTTTCATTTTTCTTGGTGGTGTAAATACTTAGGGGTGGGATTGCTGGCTCATGAATATATCCCTTTTAAAGAAATTGCCAAACACTTCTCCAAAGTGGTTGTACAACTTCACGTTCCCACCAGTGGTATATCAGAGTTCCAGTTGCTCCACATCTTTAATAGCATTTGGATTGTCAGTCATTTTAAGTTTAGCCATTCTAGTGGATATGAAATGATATCTAATCATGTTTTTAATTTGTATTCCCTAATGATTATTGATTTTGAGCCCCTTAGTATGTGCTTACTGGCCATTCCTATATCTTATCAAATGGCTGTTCAAGCACACTTATATTTTTGATTGGGCTGTTCATTGTTTTTATGGTTGCTTTTCTAGGGCTGCCTTTATATTTGGGATACAAGTCTTTTGTCAGATATTTGTGCTTTAAGTATTTTTTCCCAGTCTGATGCTTGCCTATTCATTTCCTTAGTCTTTCATGAGAAAGAATTTTTAAAAGTTTGTTTTTTCTTTTATTTATATTTTGTGTCTATTTCAAGAAATCTTTGCCTACCACATCAGCACAGAGATGTACTTTCTGTGTTTTCTTTTAGGAGTTTTATGGTTTTGATTTATATACAGTTCTTCATTTTTTGAGATGGAGTTTTGAAGTGGATGTCCAATTGTTTTAGCACCATTAGTTAAAAATCTCTGTTAGCTATCCAGTTCTCTGTCTCTCATATTTTTGGTCTCTTTAAGCATTAGATATAATTAATAACTGTCACTGTTGAATTTCAGCTTTTTTTGGTAGGGAGATAGGCATCATATTTGGTGCTAGAACAAGAGAAAACCAGAATTATTGGTGATGGCTAGACCTGGACCCTGGAGAAAAGTGACCTCTTTTCTGTTTTAGAAGTGAGTTCTGCTATCTGACCTAGTTAACTTCACAGTTAAGGTCCTGCTTACTGTGAGGTATATTTTGCCATCAGGTTGAAACCGTGATTCAGCTCCATCTTGGGACTACACCATGGGTTACCAGGCAGGCCACACCTTGTCTTTGGCTGGATCAATCAGTGGGTTAGAGAAAGAGGGATTGTCTGTTGAGGTAGTGGTAACTTAAGAGTGCGCAGACTTAATGCATATCCTACCAGATTATGCATAAAGTAAGTTACTGGCATCTTTGACATGTCCTCCAAGGCACTTACAGAGTTCTGTGGGTTTTTTTAAAAATATATTTTATTACTATTATTATTATTTTTCAGCCGCGCGTCGCGGCACACGGGATCTTAATAAAAGCACAGTCTTAATCACTGGACCACCAGGGAGGTCCCTTTTTTTATTCTAAGCAGAGCAGATGGAATTTTATTCATGTAGTGTAGTGTGGGGGGTGTGTGTGCGAGCAGAGCAGGGAATTTTATTCATGTAGTGTAGTGTGGGGGGTGTGTGTGCGCGTGCGTGCGTGCGTGTGTGTGCATGCTGTTATTTCTATTTTAACTTATAAAATTGTTTACATCAGAAATGAAAATTTTTTCTGTATCACTCTCTGACTGTAGTTTTGGGAACATTCTGATTGTTTTTGCATCACAGCTTTTGGGTGAATGTTAAACAGTGAAGTATAAATTGGTTATCTAAGTAATATAGATGGTAGTTTTCTTTAAATTATGCAGTCTATTTTGTGGGTTTGTCTACTAGTGTTTTGTTCCATTTAACTAGGTACCTAACATTTGCTTCTGCATTTTATTTGACTTCATAAGACTCTGATCTACACTGAACATGAGGAACATTCGTATGATTTATTAGTGTGTATAATAAGTGTTCAGAAATTCACAGCTGCATTTTAACCTCAGACTTTGGGAACTTCATAGCAAGAATAGCATCCATTATATTGACTTTCGTGGCCACTAAATTTTGTTTTACAGTCATGATGAAGAATATTATTCTTGTAGGAGAAGACATTTTCTTGGAATAGAACTAATTCATACAAGCATTAGTAGTAGGGGAATAAAATGCGTAGTGAGTTACTCTTGATGTTTAAGGTTTTTCTTGTTGTTGTTTTGTTTCTGTTTTTGGCCATGCCACGTGACTTGTGGAATCCTAATTAGTTCCCTGACCAAGGGCCCTTGGCAGTGAAAGCGCGGCGTCCCAACCGCTGGACCACCAGGGAATCCCCAATGTTAAGTGTTCTGTTTTTAGTTTCAGTGTTGCTTTCATTTATATTAATCTGCAGCAACTTAAATTAGAAAGACTTTCCATGATTCAGAGCTTTTTAATATTTAGAATTCATCAAGTAAATAAGTCTGTGTAAAATCCAGTGGCTGTAAGTATAACATTAAGAAGGAAGATTTTAAATACACGGTGGTGTGGAACAGAATTGAGCTGGTGGGTCTATAAGCACATACTTTTTCTTTTTCTCTCCCAATTTAATCAGAGCAGTGTTCTGTATCTGCTTTATATATTGGGAGTCTCTGAGTAAGCCAGTCGTTGTCTGTAGTCCCCCCACCGGAGTATGTGGTTGGTGGTTTTGAGTTTTAGAGCATGAAAAAAACCCAAATCTGATGCTTTTCCCCACAAAGTTTCTGTTCAACCCTTTACTATTATACTGTTCCTTTAATTGTTAAAAACAGCCAAGATTCTGTATCTTTGGCAATAGACAGTTCAGCTTTTGGCATATAGTATAAAGGGTTTGTTTTCTATTCCTTTGTAAAACATGATGCATTTTACTTATTTGTAGTGTTATGAAGCTGGTCACTTGGAGAATGACATTACTGAATCATGTGCTGCATCTCGTTCTAAAGAGTTTGGTGGAGGTGAGTGTTTTTGAGATTTAAGAACTGTATTGCAAAAATAAGTGTGAAGTACCCTGTCAGTTAACGAGAAAAGTTACTAAGCAGGACTAGTAAGGTTGCAAGTTCTAAGACTTGTTTGCCCAATATATGCTTCCTAAAACTGCGTATGACACTAGAAAATTGTATTGATTCATTTCCAACTTTATACTGAAGTTAGTTAAATGGAATTAGAATTAGTGTTAAGGAAATGTTGGGAACAATAAAGAAAAATCAGCTCCTTAATTTTCTTATTAGATAATTCTCCATACTGCATCATTACTTTCTTGGCTTTGATTCCTATAGGACAGAAAATAACAGAATTTGAGTTGAGGGGGAAATTGCAAATCATCTTAAACAAGTCTTTCATAGTCTTACTTTCTTATATCACACCTGTGACCTTTGGTCAATGAACATATGCTTGAAAAAGAGAGCTTACATTTGAGCCTAGTCTATTATGGTTGCTTTCAAAGGCCTTGGGAATCTTCTAGATTATATTGGAATCTGTTTCCTGGAACCTCTGCTTGGTCATCTTATTTCTGCC